GGGGTATGTGGGTCTTCCTGTGATGTTTGCGGTTTTGCGAAGATACTTAATCTCGCGTGGCTATCATTTTAAAAATTCACAAACAGTATTAATCAACTGAAAAGATAGGGGTTTGAGGTCAAATTATTAGTGCAATATTAATCGATTTACAAGCTAAAATTATTTGTACCTAGTTGCAGTGTTTATTGTTTTTGCCTGTAAAAGTTTCTCATGGTTTCCACATTCCCTAGAAGATCAGGAGATAATATTGTGAAAACTGAGTAAGTCTCGAATACTGTCTATAAGATAGGTAAACCATGTAAATAATGTGCAGCGATCATAAATTTTGTGTGGGTGGTTAGCAGGTGCTCTGGTGTGGTTTGCTTCTTCTCTCTTAACAAACATCTATCGTCCTTATCTCCCCTTCTTCTTTTTATGTTTGTTACTCTCTTGTAACACCTCTAATCTTCTGGCATTCATATGACCTTCTGCAATTGCGAGCGCCGTAAAACATTTACTGAAACTAAACTAATAAATTTTGTATTTTTACTCTCGTCTCCCCTTTTTGTCAAACAGGATGAACCGGTTTCCCGGCACATCAAAGAAGCAATCAGAAAAACCAAGCTGCACCGAGAGATGCATCCACATTCCAGTGGTTTCCGACATGGGGGACCCAAGGATAAGCTCTCCAATAAATTGAGAGAACAGGCGTCAGAGTCTTCTCGGTCTAACAGATACAGGGTGACATGGACTCGCAGGGCTCTTGACCTCGACCTTCTCGACAAAGGGGAGGAATCAGAGAAGACGTCAGAATCTGCTGGGTCCGACAATAAAGAGAATAGCAAGCTTCCATCTACGCAGTCTGCCGGGCAGTGTAAAAACTCTGGCCAAGATGTACTGGTTTCTACCTTCACGACAAACTCACCTGCTCAGATTGCCGAGCAGAAAGACGCCAAGTTGCCCCCTGCTACGAAACCTGCCGCACCGTCTGCTCTTACTAAAGGAGACAAGATGTTCTGCATGTTTGATGTTGAAAGTGATGATGAGAAAGAAGCTCTTGCTGGTTTGATCTCAGGAAATGTGAGTTACTGTTTTTTGTACTGTGTGTCGGAGTTGTTGCCGAATAAGGACAGAACCTACATACCACGAAGTGCCAACATCCGAATGTACCCTTTTTGCCCATCTGTTCATTTAACCCTATCCGTACGCCCTGGGGTCATTTGTACCCCCGGGGTTGTATTCTTCACATTTTAGAATACTTCTATTGCGAAGATCTCTTTGAAACTTTCCACATTTCTCAAAATATCTTTTTGACAGACAGCTATGCAAAGCGTACGGATCGGATTATCGAGTAAATTTCTTCTTTGGAAAGTGGTGGCACAGAGTTCCCCTCGACGTATGGATACGATAGCAAAACAGGACGAGACATACAGAAAGTTTTAAAGAGGTCTTCGTACTGGAAGTATTCTAAAATGTGAAGAATACAACCCCGGGGGTACAAAATGACCCCAGGGCGTACGGATAGGGTTAAGCTGCCAAATGTCTGTCTGTTAACTCTAAGCAAGCTGCCTAATGGAAAGGATATGTATCCCAGTGACTGGAAAATAGCTCACTTCAACCTTTGCTTTTGTGAAGAAGATAAGTTCACTATAAAGTAAAGGTAGAGATTTTTTTTTTTTTGTATGTTATATTGTATTTCATCAAAAAGAATCTTAGTCATTTTTCTTCTGCGAAGGTTTAGAGCATGCATATTGACAGTGTTCATTTTAATTTTAAAAAGGCAGTTTGACTGATATATTATTGGTGTCACCATGTAGGGTAATATTGTAACATGAGATAAAATACTTTTTTCAACAGCTTACACTATTTGACAGCTTAAAACTATGTAAAGAACATCTCTGTCAGGCTCTTTTGTTGAGCTTTCGTATAGCTGTTTAAAAAATACTTAGCTAGAAACTAGAAAAAATGTCAAACATTTAAATGACAGAGGTGTGCAGCATTGCTGTGAAAAAGTCTTAAGTCAGTCCTTGTTTTCTGAATTTTAGCAACTCTTCTTTCTCAGTTTTTATGGTTTTAAGTTAGAGGGTTGTGAAGGCTTGTATGCATCCCTGTAGTTTTAAGTAACTTCCAAAATAACATGCTACATATGGCTACCTGAAAGGAGAGAGATACCTCGCTCTCTTATGAAAATGGGCAATGCACATGCATAAATCTTTTTCGTTCGTGGGTGGTTGGCGGGTGCTTTGTTGTGGTTTGCTCCTTCTTTCCAATCAAACATCTATCGTCCTTATCTCCCCTCCGTCTATTTTGTGTTTGTTACTCTCTTGTAACATCTCTATTCTTCAGCACTTATATGACCTTATGGTCTTGCAAGTGCCTTAAACCCTTACTAAAACAAACTTTTCCCTTTTTGGTTCAATTTTCTGAGTGTGCTCCCCTGTATCTTTCTACACACTGAATGCAGTACTGAGAGTGTGGAGGGGAAAGTAAAGCTGTTGTTCCTAGGAGGGTGAAGTAAAGCAGTCATCCCTAGGGTAGGGAGCACATACGGTCGCTTTTAAGCACAAGGGGGCTATTCCGAAAAAAGCTGTTTTGAGAAAATCGAATGTAAAGTTTTGCCCTTGTTCAGTTTCTTTAAAATACAAGGAGAGTTTTCTCTATAACCAAACGAATATACACACCAATTTAACCAAACTTCTCCTATAGGTAGGGCAATGCCCACTTTTGGTGTAGGTCAAGATTTCCGGAAACCACTGACATCTGGGTTAGCCCGCTTTTCCTTAAAAGCAACCGTATATTGTAGGTTCAGGGGATGAAATGGGGTGTAATATGAGCAGTTCTTTAATAAATGTTTCGCTTTTTTTTCAGGACTCTTCCAGTGGGATCACCATGAATGGTGTGCCAATGGTGTCCACGGAAGTCTCGGCTCCCCTGGCAGAAAGTGAGTATGTCTACGACCTCTACTACACTCACAGCAACCTCAGCGGTCTAGATGTCCAAGCCGTGCTGACGGTGCAGTCCATCTGCGACCAGTTTGTGAATGAGGAGGAGGAGGGGCCCGACGGAGAGCTGGTCTACGATGATGAAGACGACAGCAATGATGAAAGCAACTGGAGGAATGACTACCCGGACGAAGATCCTCATTTCTTTGAGAACGATGACGGGGACTGTTATTACGCTGAAGGTATGTCAGCAATTTCCCCTGTGTTGTTGCCTCCCAAAGGTTACTTTTTTGCGTTTGAGTGTGTTTTAACGATCGTCAGTGGGAGACAATCTCCTGTACAAAAGACAGCTTCAAATCCCCCTCTTTGTAATTTTTTGTTGTTGTTTTGTTTCTATATTTTAATGATATGTTCAAAGAGGACCGTCTGTCTATGATTGCCACTTTGTCCTCAACAATGGCTGGTTGTCTTGGACAAGTTAAACACTTTACCGCCACAAGGCTCATATAGTAAAAACTCTTGCCATCAAAGGCAAAGGCATTTCTGGGGAAAATCTAAAGAAACTTGGTGGAAAACATGGCAGATCTGCGAGATGAGGCGGCAAAGTGTTAAGTGTACTTTTATTTCAGCTCATGGTGCAAGTAGGTGTTGAAGTTTGAAATGGAGCATTGTAGTGAAGAGAGATTAAATTTTCCTAGATTTTACTATTATTGTATTGTGAGGGTTATTACAGTGTAGCTTATATAGGTGACTTTTAAATTGAAATAAAGGTTAATTGATATGAACTTTTCATGCTCTGACTTTCAGTTCCCTGTTCTTCAAATTTTCTTTTCTTCTACAACTAATATTTTGGTCATCACGTTAAGAGACAATTTTGGGTCACTCTGTGCTCTGGTGTGGTTTGCTTCTTCTTTCCTATCAAACATCTATTGTTCTTCTTTTTTATGTTTGTTATACCTCTAATCTTCTGGCGCTCATATGACCTTATGCAATTGTGAGCGCCGTAAAACCTCTACTAAAACTAAAACTAAAATTCTGTGAGGGCAAGACAATAGTATCACAATTCAAGTGTGTCTTTAACTAAGGAGCCATTTGCCTCTTTTTCTAAGTTGAGCAACGAACGCCAACTCCTGGCCATGGTAAATTAAAGAGCTGGCTTAAACTTACTTTAGATAAAATTTAGATGTTCAAATGTTTTTCCACTCTCATTTTATATACAGATACATCACCTTTTTTATTAGAATACCGTCAAACCTGCTCTAATGGTCATCTGGCGAAGACAATCACCTGTACAAAGGGCTACTTGCTATTTCCTCCCTTGCATGTTTTTCACATTTTATATAGTGACACTGCGCTAGACATCCACCTTGTCAGTGACTACCACTTTTGTCCTGGACAGTGAGTGGCCGTCTTTGACAATTTCGACTGTAGTAATTCTTCTTCTTCCTCATTCTCAAAGACTGTAGTAATGATTTACTTTGTTACGCTCAAGTTTTATTTGAGCATGGTTGTTATTTTGGATAGTGAAATTAACCTCTGTGCTGGGTTTCTTTTTCTTTTCTTTTTTCAGATATGATTGATACAAATGTTCTGGATGATGGTGATATGCTAGCCCAGTATTTAGGATCCAAGTGTAAAGTTGGTGAGTACCGTACACAATACGACTCGATAGTTGATGTCTTGTTTTACTCATTGTTAAGTACAGTCTCCCCAAAGTCCAGCTCTCCAAGCTTGGAATTGCCATGATAAATTGGGAAAGTCAATGGTGACCTCGCTAACTTGGCCATAGCTGTTTTATTGAAACTTCATTTAAAAGCCTTAAATGATTCAAGTAAATTCGAGGAACACCTGTACACCCAAAAATACATATTCTCGTGGTTTTCTTTCAACATTTGAAAGTTTCTTTTCTCGATGAAAGGAAGTTGGTCTATTTTTTAAAAAGTTATCAACATCCAGCTGAGCAGGAAGGGAGGGGCTGGGTTTTGTCTTCTGAGTGTTAGCTAGTAATCATAAGTCTTGTGTGATGATGAGTTTTTGAACCATGACTGAAGGAAGGAAATTGTGAGGCAGTGTGGTGAAATCAGGCGCTCGCCGAAATAACGAAAGTAAAGAAACTGAAACTTTTCCGCTGGCTTCGCGCTTTTTATTGAAATTTTATTTTTCAGCTCAATACCTTCTGTGTCCTTTTAACTCACTTCAGACGGGTCACACAACAGTTGCGTGACCCCCGCCATGACGCTCGCGTCGGGTCTCACAAGCCCTGCGTGACCAACTTTGGAATTTTTTTTTCGCTCTACAAATCACGCACGGATCGCGAGACCCGCCTCGTACCCTTGTTTGGCCAAGCCTGAGCTACTTAGACTTCGTTTCGTATCTCTGGGGCCGGTAGTTTTTAAGTTATTGAAGGTGAAAGACAGTGACCCCAACTGGGGTTGAACAGACCGGAACTCGCGCTTTGTTTTTTTCTATACAGCTCATAGTAATCCGACAGTCGCGTCGTAGTAACGGTCGAAGAAGTCGCATGAACAAGAATCACATAATTTCGCCGTTTTCTATACTTCTGTGCGTTTTACTAGTTCTAGTGTCTCAGAATATGATGTGTCTAATAGTTAGGATCCTGGATATGTACCCGAACACGGCCCGAGTCGTAGTTCTAGGGCTAGATCTAGCACTAGTACCGGTGTTGTTTTTCGCGCAACGAAATCACAACGTCGTGCCGTACATCTGTCTCATGTAATTCAGTGTATGGGTCTGAATCAATGCACAGACCAGCTTTTATATTTTCACCAAACACTTGCACATGTATACAAGTCAAACCAGAACACTTTGAACTTTTATTTTTGTTGTTGCAGTGAATTTCATTCTACTTGTCACGTCTCTGGAAATTTTTCGAAAATCAAATTCATGCCAATTTTTAAAAAAATCGTACAAATTAAAGTATTAAACTTAGACAACTTTAGTTTTTTGTATTAGATTAAGCTTGAATGTTACTTTACTGTGTCAAAAAATGATTACAATAGGGTAATTCTGAGAGTTGTGGTGATTTATTGAAATACCCTCCAAAACACCAGTCTTCAATGCTTGTGGCTGGTGAAAGGGCCCAGTCGCAAGTGAGTTAAGAACCTATTTCAGTGTGAATTATATTGAAAAACGTTGATTAAAAATACAACAAATGTAAATTTTCAGTTTCCACGGACTCTGAGGCTTTGTAAATAACCTAACTTTGGCGGCCATTTTCTCACAAATTTTACCCCAGCACCTTTTATGTCCATATATATTTATATAAAAACATATTTCTGTGGATTTTAATGAAAGATGTTGATTAAAAGCACAAAAAATGTTAACTTTTAGTTATGAAGGACTTTCGAACTATGAAAGTCACCAAACTTTGTCGGCCATTTTCTCGCTAACTTTACCTCTTAAACAAGACGACCCCTACCTTCTTCAATTGCAAATATCCTGACTTGTATACAAGGTAGATGGATACTTTTTCCATCAAATGCAAAGTAAATGAAAAAGCTTTAAGATGATATCACTAACTCCACATGCCCAAAAACGAGCGAACGGCTGATTCAACAGCGGCCTGACACAATTACCTCTGTCATTTTAACTCTTTATCTCCAGGGTGGGTAAAGCCACTCCGCCGGGGCCCAATTTTGGCGCTAAATCTCAAAATGACAAAAACGTTATTAAACGGGTCGTTAAATTGAAACTAGCATTCCTATTTTGATAGTTCTTCATCTAATGAATGAACTTCTGGTATAAGTAAGAGACCTGTTTTCGGCAGGTGCCGAAAAGTAATTTGATGTCGAAGTCATCGTAAAGGAATGTGACCGATCCGCTGTCAGCGGCTCACCGGCACAGTGGTTCCGACTGCAAACTGTTGGGAGCGGCTTGCCGGAGATAAAGAGTTAAGGGGTGTTTCAGTTAACTGTCTGGTAAATCTTGTGAACTGTGTTTCCGGGGTGTATACAAACTGTGAACTTCTTGCTTCACAGGAATTCTGAAAATCTGGATTTGCTTGATTTTGCTGTGAGTGGTTGGCGGGTGCTCTGGTGTTGTTTGCACTTTCTTTCCCATCAAACATTTATCGTCCTTATCTCTCCTTTTTCTTTTATTGTGTTTGTTACTTCCTTGTAGCACCTCTAGATATTAGGCACTTATATGACCTAATTTTGGCTTGCTAAAACATTCGTTTTGCTAAAAACTTAGCAGTTCAGTCGAGATATATTACAACTAAGATGTGCGTGTGTGTGTGCGTTGCATCGTGGTGAAATCAGGCACTCATCAAAATAATGAAATCAAAGAAACCAACGTGTAACTGTCCGTTGGGCAAATGTTATATATTGTCCGCCAGTTAATAATGTGTCACAAGATGCCACAAGACAAAAGTTTTTCAATCTTGTAAATTGCAGTTTCTTGATTCTTGGTATCAGCAGCATGTGCTCAATATTTGTCAAAATTTTAATTCTATAAGTTGAAAAAAGCAAGAAAAGACAAAAATTCCTTCCCTGCAGGTTGTCAAATCTCAAACTAAAATGTCCATATCTGTTTTCTTTATTCTGATTTCAAACATGAACATTTTCATACTCTAGAAAAATAACAAAACTTTTATGAGTGGGTGGTTGGCGGGTGCTCTGGTGTGGTTTACTCCTTCTTTCCTATCAAACATCTGTCATCCTTATCTCTCCTTCTTATTTTTTGTGTTTGTTGCTCTCTTGTAACACCTCTAATCTTGATCACTTATATGACCTTATTGTGTTGCAAGTGCCATAAAGCTCTTACAAAAACAAATTTTTATGGGTTTGTTTTTTTTTTCATTGCAGAGGCCGATTCTGATGACGACGCTGATGAATATGGAGAAAACGAAGGTTCAAGTGATGACGAATTTATGTAAATATTTTGTACATGTGTACATGTATGATAGTAAGGCGCTTAGTGTATAAATGTATGCAATGTTTTTACCGGTCTCCATTGATTCATTTTGCTTCTTACTGTGGTGTATGCTGGTCCTGCCTGACAAAAAAATAAATAAAATAAAAATCTTAAAACTTGCTTCCATGAATGGTCAGTTGAGTTTGTTACCTCTTGTGTTTGGTGAAATATATGTGTCTGTTTGCTTGTCTGTCTGTCTGTCTGTCTGTCTGTCTGTCTATCTGTCTGTCCGTCCGTCCGTCTGTCCATCTGTCTTTCTGTCTTTCTGTCTTCTTACCTACCTGTCCATCTGTGTTTATCAATGTGTCACACCACATATCTGTCAGTCTACCGTGCGCCCTAGTGACACAAGTAATGGTTTTCTCTCTCTCTGTGCTACTTTGCATGTCATACAGGCGTCTATGGTGTAATCGTTAACCCTCTCTATACGTCGTGTTTCCCTATCATATCCATACGACGTGGGGAACTCTGTGCCACTACTTTCTAAAGAGGAAATTTACTTGTTAATTCGATCCGTACTCTTTGCATAACAGTCTGTGAAAATGATTCTTTGAGAAATACTGAAAGTTTCAAAGAGATCTTCGTACTAGAAGTATTCTAAAATGAAGAATACAACCCTGGGGGTACAAAATGACCCCAGGGCATACGGATAAGGTTAAAGAAAAAAATATATGTGTTTTTACACCCCCATTGACACAGTTTTGACCATTTACTTAGGAGGTGGGCTTCTGACTCAGCCTGTCACGGTCAATCCAGGCTGAGAGATGCGACATCGCAGCAGAAAGACCCCCCCAAGATAATAAAATTTCTCTCATTTTCTCCACTTTGGCAAGAGTGACCAAACTCAACAGCAAAGTTAGCTGTGCAAGAATGAGTTTCATCATCTCTGAAGCTGCTCTCTAAGCCCACTAGAGATTAATGTGAAGCGAGCTGACAAAATAAGTTACTTCTCGGATTCAAACCTTTAGGAAATAGATACGTCATGCTTATAGGTGAAGTTTTTACAATATTTAAGAATGCAATTATAAAAGATAGGTTATAAGTAAAGAATATGGCATCGACAGAAAATCTACAAATTTGATCCTAATGCGGATTTGTGGCCAATATCTCCATTTGTGGAATGCGAAAAGTAAGTCATTTTGTCAGCACGCCTCACATTTGTGGGACACAAGCTGGTATTATAGCACTGATAATAGTTTGGGTCTAATGCCTCTTTCAACATTCTGAGGTAATTCTTTCGCACACTCTGAGGGAATTTAAAGTTCCATCTCCAGTTAGACTGAGCCAGGTAAACTGGGAGCCTTGAAATTGCTCCTCACAATCCAAGCTCAATAATTCCCCACTAGGGACTCTCATGGTCTAGAGGTACGGTGTTCCCTTTTCATTTAATAGGTCCCGGGCTGAAAACCTGACAGCAATGGAACATTTTCTTCTCTGAAATTTTCTCTGTTCACCTCCTTTCCTGCTCTCTAACCATTTCTTATATCTGCGTTCGGCTCCATTTTCTGCTCCACCCCCAACCCCTGCCCCCCTCTCCTCTTTGCCCCCTCCTCTGCATCCCTGACTCTTTCTACTGCTAGTGCTACTCCCATGGCTCCTTCTTTCTGTTGCCTTTCAACCACACCCCTGATCTTAGGGTAGGCAAGATCTTACACCTAGCCTTCTTGGATGAGGGTGAAATAATCTCTGAGGTCCCATGTGCAAGTTGTGTATGTTAAGATCCCTTGGTGGTCCTAAATTCGATAAGAGTAGGTGTCAGCTGCCATCCAGGCAAAATTCAAAATTAATTCCTACCAAACTGAAAATGCTTAATGTATCTGGTGCACTCATATGCACATGACCTTATGCGACTGCGAGCACCATAAAACACTTACTACCTCAAAAATGTCCAACTGGAACCAAAGTCATAAGCACCATAGGTCATCATGACAAAAAGTGAAAACTGAGCTATCAGTGCACTCACAAATTGAGGTGGATGTGTGCACAAGATAAAATAACAAATAAAAGAAACATGGTTTAATTGTTTTGTCCAGGGGTAGGCAATCGTTTCAGATTTCATTTGGGGCCACTTCAACTGAGCCATATAGCAATGGCCACCTCCTTTTCCTATGTTTGTTTTAGTACAGGTTTTATGGTGCTCGCAACTGCATAAGGTCATATGAGCGCTAAGGGGTGGATGTCAACAGAGAAGTTTTACAGGCTCATTTTACTACATCGCACTAGAGACATGAAATGCTCAGAAACATTTTTTCATTAAAAAATTGCAAGATATAATCTGTTATTGTATAATAAAAATCCAGACTTGATAAGATGTAGTTTCAACTTTCAAAGCAGATCTCAAAAGCACAATAACAGAGAGTGACAAGTGAATAGAGAAACTGTCTCTGGAAAAAAGTGAAAAGAGATTGAAATTCAACTTTAAATGAAAAGAAAGTCCTATATTGTCTTCAGTCCGTTTATTACAGTGTATGTGTACAGGCAATATTATGTGATACTGTCATGGGTTTTGTGATTTGGGGTTTTATGGATACATAATATTAATATGCACAATTTGTTAACAACAGTAAGCCGGTTATGATCACAAAACCCACTCAGAGCAAAACAGAAACTAAGTTCAAGACCTCCAAATATCCATGCCTTTCACACACAAGTACACACACACAAAAGTATGTACACACACTCTCACACATGTGCACATGTTCACAAACACACACTCATTTACACACATAAACATGCTCGGAATAATACAAATATATCTATTTCAGTTTGGTAAGAGCTTTACACCGCTCGTAGCTGCATAAGGTCATATGAGGGCCCTCATCATAATTATATGGCTATATCAATACATGCATCTACATTAACATTCACAAATGAATTTTAAAAACTTAGCATTCGTGATAAGACCTTTGAAAAATTCACTTTGCTTGTTTGCTTAATAATGGCATCATGGAGAAATCAGGCGCTCATCAAATAATTAAATTGAAGGAACAGGCATTTTTCCTTCATCTTTTAGCAATTTTTATCAAATTTTTGTTTTTTGGCTCAACGCCTTTAAGTCCATATAATAGTAATAATACACATTTCCTTGAGAATTTCACTGGAAAAACGTTGAGTAAAGGCACAAATATGTATTTTTTCAGTTTTCAAGGACTCTGAGGCTATTGAAAGGACCAAACTTTGACTGCCATTTTCTCGCTAATTTTACCACAGAAACCAGGTAACCTCATCTGCTTCAAGCGTAAATATCTCGACTTCTATTCAAGATAAACAGGTATTTTTTTCGTTGAAAGCAAGGCAAATGAACAAACTTTCAGATGATACCAATACCAATAACTGCACATGCCCAAAAATTGACGAGCGCCTGATTCCACTGCATCATGACACATACACACACACACTGACACACACACACACATATATATATCATTCAATACTTGAATTCTTTAGATTAAAGGCCTAAGACATTCAATATGTTCTCAAATTTAAGATTATGACAATTTGATATGACGACGGTCACATTTTTACAGGAGATGATTAGGAGAATAGTAACAATGAAGGTGATGGAAGCAGAAACCACCGGTGTCTTTGCTGTCATAGCTATGCTCTTTGTCACAGCAAACAGAAGATAGAAGTTTGATTCTCTCGAGTTGCAGAGTTATATATAGCCTATATATATATATCGATTTATTGTCTTTGTCTGCCTTTTGGAACGTTGTATCCCATTCAGCCGTGGCTGGCCCTAACAGACAGGGTCAAACTGTCCCCGTCGTTTTATGCAAGAAAAATTCTGAAATTAGGCAAACTGAGCCCAAAATGTGAAATTTTGCGATTCTGTTAATTTTAACAAAGAATGATAAAGGAAAATAATCAGGAATTATGCAAAAAATGAACAAATTTTGCTAAATTATGCGGGGTGCGTAAAACCATGGGGACAGGTCAAAGAAGTCCTCTTCTCTGTTGATCTAAATTGAGGCAAAGTGGGCATAGAACTGTTTCAATCACTATCAAAGAAGTAGAAGTAGAAGACCACATTAGACTGACGAATAACAACAGGTTGAGGGGTTCAAGGCAAGGTGCAGAACAGGGAATATACAATAGGAGGTACTTGCACCATCAAATAACAGCCGTGTCCTATACCCCTCACCCTATACGTTCTTACTAACTCGCTGACCGTCTAGCCCTCACCCGTTCTTTTGGTTAAGGATCCTGCAGGTGTTAACCCTTACTTAAAGTTTCCCATCCAGACCTCCACGTCTATATTAATAACTAAACAAAGAGAAAAGCAATGGAGGGAATATTATCACCAGTATTACGGTGGGTAAACCCTATCAAAAAGTCAAATGCCGAATATTTGGAATGGGCTAATTATTATTGTGTTAATCAAGGCCTTAAGCAAAACAAGAGCAAAAACTTTCAACAAGCACTTGCTCTTTATAGACGGTATATTACTGTTAAGTTCAAAATTTCCTAGTTGAAAAGCCCAGACAAAAGACATTCAACTAATGTGATTCACATTATGATTGAAGAACAACAATACGGGCATTCTTTGAAACTCAACTTACTTAGGGTATTAAAATAATTCAAACAAACCTGTGTCATGCATTCAAAATTACATAATTTTTAAAAAATGCGACCTAATAGTTAATACGAGTGTATACCCTGCTAAAATGTATACAAAATAATTATAAATGAGATATTCCTAATTCACAGCTTTTTTCAACAGATAGCGAGTGCGAATATTTGACTGTGCCACAAGACAGAAGATAATGGTTATATATGGTCGCTCTTAAGCACAAGGGGGCTATCCCGAAAATGCTGTTTTGAGAAAACCGAAGGTAAAGTTTTTCGACCCTTGTTCAGTTTCTTTTTAAAAAACAAGGAGAGTTTTCTCTATAACCAAACAAATATACACACCAATGAAACCAAACTTGTCCTATAGGTAGGACCATGCCCACTTTCGATGTAGGTCAAGATTTCTGGAAACCCCCAAAACCTGGGTTAGCCTGCTTGTCCTTAAAAGCGACCATAATAGTGAAGCGTGCTGACAAAATGAGTTACTTCTCGCAATCCAAAAATGAACATATCAGCCAAGAATCGACACTTGGGTCAGATTTATAGATTTTCAATTGACGCCATTTTGTTTGTCTACCGTGTTTTTTATTATTCCATACTTACAAATTGTACAAACTTCCCCTATAAAGTTGGTGTATCAATTTCCATACACGGCTAAAATCTGAAAAGTAACTCATTTTGTCAGCACGCCTCACATAAATTTATATATGTAACTTCCTCGAGGCGTTCAAAATTAGGACAATCAGTTATTCATGTTATGTCTTTTGCCAACCGTGAGTGGTCCTCATTGACTTATCTGAGTCTGAATTCTATAAAAATCAACAATATAACAATGTTGAGATACTTTAGTTTTGTGTGCAACAAGAGGTTTGCTGAGATGAAGGTGGGAAAAAAGAGGTGCTGCAAAGGAGTAAACTACCCAATTATTTTAAAAATAAGTCAGTCTAAGATGTGCTTTTTTAGTTTTAGTAAGAGTTTTACAGCGCTCGCAATCTGCACAACGTCATATGAGTGCACTAAGATGTGTGTACTGACAGAACTTGGGCAGCTTTTATGACAGAACTTGGACAGCTTTTATGCACTATGAATTGAATGTTGAAGTTGAACAGATAGAAGGATGACTAGTCTATGTCTTCTGTCAATACAATACCACATGCTGCAAGTTGAACAGACTGAACGATGACTAGTCTATGTCTTCTGTCAATACAATACCACATGCTGCAAGCTGAATCTTCATCAGCCGATATCAGTCCTCCCTTCTCCTCATATAATGTCTGTCCCTGTGGTTTTATGCACCACGCCTAATTTAGCAAAATTTGATCCTTTTTAGCATAATTTCTTATTATTTTCCTCTTTTATTCTTTGTTAAAATTAAGAGAATCGCATAATTTCCCATTTTTGGGCTCAGTTTGCATAATTTCAGAATTTTTCTTGCTTAAAATGACTGAGACAGTCATATGAAATCATCTGGGCCTGTCACTGTGGGCACCCTTCATAGTTCTCTCTCTCACTCTCTCTGTCTCTCTAGATCTATGTCTCTCTCTGTTTTTCTGCCGCCCTCTCCCTCCATCCCTGCAGTACCCTTACACCCTCCACCCCGCCCCCTGCTCTAGTGATATCGTTTTGATTCTTTCACAGTTACAAAAGTTACACAAAACAGTCTATGTTATGAGTTCTGTACAAGTAGTTCGTCCTTTGGGTCTCGAATCGCAGCTCCGGGCACTTCCACTATGACTTCTGTCTCTTGGCCCAATACCTCTGCCACCATCTGTTTTCCTGCCTCTTGCCGTCGGTAGTCAGGTTTGATGATAGCTGTGAAAATAGAACATGGGTGGGGGGAGGAGGGAGGTTGTTAGTCTACGGGGGTCGTTAGTCTACAGGTACAGTGCTTTTTTCTCTTTCTGAACGAATCTGGTTCAAAGCCTTGTTAACCCTATACGTACGCCCTGGGGTCATTTTGTAACCCCGGGGTAGTATTCTTCACATTTTAAAATAGTTCTAGTATGAAGATCTCTTTGAAACTTTCAGTATTTCTCAAAAAATCATTTTGACACCCTGCTATGCAAAGCGTACGGATCGGATTAACGAGTAAATTTCCTCTTTGGAAAGTGGTGGCCCAGAGTTCCCCCACGTCGTATGGATACGATAGCAAAACTCGACAAACGGATAGGGTTAATGCAGTAAGTTGGAGGCATGGTGTCGGTAAAGTGTTGGCAAAGAGTTGGCAAGTTTTCTTTCCTTAGATCCTTAGACTAACTTAGAGTGTTAACTCGTGCTTTACCAAATTCTAATCCAAGATCCATGGGGTGGAGTGCTTTGCCATCTCCCGAACAGAAGAAAGTCGGATCTTGTTGAACTAGATTTAAACACCCTGGCAGCTAGTTTAATCTGATGCTCTCTGTTCTCAAAACTGGCATTTGTAGTGTTGGGGTTAAGCAATGCAGAATTTATGCAAGTTCGCTTCATGTGTGAGGAGCTTTTGCTTTTAGCATCACTGCCTAGTTTTCCTGCAGAGATGTTGTATGCCTCTCAGCCTGGATTAGCCTGGGCTAGCAAGGTCAAATCAGCTTGTCAAATAAAATTATCTAAATTGCATCTATTGGGGTTGTGTAAGTAAAAACATTTGCAGTTCTCAAGGGCGAGGTTGAGGGCAGCAGGAAGGGGGCTGCCCAGTTTGTCACAATTTCATTTAAACTAATGACAGTCATAATTACAGCACTTGAACACTGTAGTTGTAACTTAAGTTTTTTTATTCTCCACCTTCAAATTGGTGGTGTAGAGTTAGTCCCTCTTAAGTGTCAATTCAGAATTCAGCTTGTGTAGTTCAATATTTCTACCTTTTTGTATGCAAATCAAAGCAAATTTAAATTACCCTGTAAAATGTCAACAATGAATGTTCTTTCGTTAAAAACAATTGAAAAATCAAATTCAATTCATACAATCAATCAATCATTAATTAAATGTTTTTGAGAGTGTGTAACTTCCATCATGCAGGGCACAGTTGAGGCATGTGACGAACTAGCGTGCTTCCAGCAGGAAAAGACCCAGAAAACCTACAGGTCACGAGATCAATATCAGTGAGGTGTAGAGGGCTACTTTTTCATACAACCAGCTTACGCCAAATCCTCCGAATCTTCTGGCCCGACAAGATTTCCAATTCAGATCTTTTACGGAAATGTAGGCAAGAGGACATGACCACCATAATAACAAGGAGAAGATGGAGATGGATTGGGCATGTTCTAAAAAGAGAACCAGACTCTATTGTCTGTCCCCGTGGTTTTATGCACCCCGCATAATTTAGCAACTTTGATCATTTTTTGCATGATTTTTGATTATTTTCCTTTATCATTCTTTGTTAAAATTAACAGAATCATATAATTTCACATTTTTGGGCTCAGTTTGCATAATTTCAGAATTTTTCTTGCATAAAACGACGGGGACAGTACTGTAAAGACTGCTCTCCGCTGGACACTAGAAGGACATCGCAAAAGGGGCAGACTCAAAATGACCTGGAGACACACAGTAGAGTCTGAGAAGTCCTGGAAGTGGAACCATTCGCATGGGACTTGACCAAGATGGCCTAAAACAGACAGTTCTGGAGATCCTTTGTTGCTGCCCTAAATTCCAGATGGCGTGACGGGTAGTAAATCGATCAGTAGAAGGCTGCCAGAGGTAATGAAATTCAGAGGAGATAGAGATGCAAGTAGATGGGGGGAACTCTGGTGGCATGACGTCTAGTTGTCTGTCGGTCCATCTGTCTGTCTGTCTCAACTGTCTATCTGTCCATCCATCTGTCCATCTGTCCGTCTGCCTGCCTGCCTGCCTGCCTGCCTGCCTGCCTGCCTGCCTGCCTGCCTGCCTGCCTGCCTGCCTGCCTGCCTGCCTGCCTGCCTGCCTGCCTGTCTGTCTGTCTGTCTGTCTGTCTGTCTAACAAAAATACACACACACACACACACACACACACACACACACACACACACACACACACACACACACACACACACAACACACACACACACACACACACACACACACACTGACCTGTCATGATGGCGCCCAGTAGCAGGAAAACACACACCAAGATATTGGCGGACAATACGCTGACCGATTCTGTCATAGCTCTCATGCCAAGAGTGAAGATAATACCAAAGGTCTGCAAAACAAAGTGAACATGCATAATAAGAAAAGAGAACTACACTCCATACATAAGCTATCCCTAAATGCCTAAATGCTTCCCAAGAAAATTACCCTGATAAACAAAGTTTTGAAAAAATGTTTAAAACGCAAATACCAAAACCCAAAGCAGCAAGAAGCAAAAATACTTCACTTAAATCCCACTTTACCAGCTAATTTGATTATTCATCCAGCTATAAGACTAAGTGAAGCGTGGTTTTCCTGAACTCAGTAAGTCAAGTTTGACAAGCGTCTGATTTCACCACGATGCCTGACACGTTTATAATATAAATATGACCCATTTATGTATTATTATGTACACATGAGTATATAATGATTTAGATTTTATTAATGCTAGAGTCCGGGATATGAAACTTTCGACTGTGAGCAATGCATATGGCTGTTTTAGACAATGTATGTGTGTGGCATCGTGGTGAAACCAGGCACTTGTCAAAATTGACTTACTGAGTTTTGGAAAACCGCTCTTCAAGTGTGATGAAAGGTAGAATAAGGCTGCTGCTGTGCCAACAAAGAAAGGATAAGTCCTCGGCTATTGGTATAATTATTTTTTAGTTTTAGTAAGAGATTTACGGCACTTGCAACACAAGTATAATTATGCCATCATCATTTGTATAACTATTTGTACACAGGACACGCATTAGCCCAATTAGTATCATTCTAGTCTATGGCACAGAGGACCCGTCTTTCTGGTCCACTCTGTAATGTTGTTCTCCAATATCCTTCTCTACCTTCCTCTCTTTCTCTTTCCTTGTACAGTTCTTTGTAGGATTGTTTTGGCAAGTCCTGTGGATCTCGATATACAGTAGGCCTAGTCGATTAGATTTGACTAATAATTTGTAAAATTATACCTGAGCTGATGCGTTGAGAAGGCCAGATGATGTCCCTTCAGACTCTGGGAAGGTAATCTCAGCCGCAAACTCAAACCCTACAGGTAGGTACCCTGTCATGAAGAACCTGAACACAATCAAACAAGAGTTAGTGTGGGTGGAAGTGTAAGATTTACTTAACACGACAAGAAGAGAGGAATGAACATACTAATAGTAAGTTTGTTATTTCCTTGTTTTTTTGTTTGCTAATTTGTTTGTGTTTTGTTAATTTGTTTGTTTTCACATGTCAAAAAGATTTTTGAGTAGGTGAGTAAGTCTGTATGTAGGTGTAAGTGCCCGCATGAGCCCATATAATATGTAGGTGTGAGTGTGTGGATGTGTGTGTGTGTGTATGTGTGTCAGTGTGTGAGGATGTGTGTGTGGATGTGTGTCAGTGTGGGTGTGTGTGTGTGTGTGTGTGTGTGTGTGTG